GTTTAATTAGCAACGTAATTAAACAATTTAAGCATGTCCACATTACATGCAATCTTTCCTTGCATCTTCTATTATGCCATGAATGAAAGATCTAATTTTAAATCCAAGTGTTTAACATCAACAAATACTTTCTTTTATGCAGTGGGTGAATTTACTATTCAGATTTAAGTATTCAAATTAATGTTTTAAGGAAGGTTTTGGTGGTTATGTTCATGGATGGCAACAACTGATTTGTGCTTTATGGAACTTACTGGTGTTTAATAGAGTCTGTCAAAGATTAGGGGGCACCTGGGTGGCTCAGCCAGTTAAGTGTCAGACTGTTGATGTCAGCTCAGGTCATAATCTCATGGTTGATTGTGAGATTAAGCCCCACATTGCATCGGGCTCTGCGCTGATAGCGTGGAGCCTGCTTGGGATTCTCTTTCTTTCTCCCTACCCCTCCCCTGCTCATGTTCACTCTCTCACTCAAAATAAATAAACATTTTTTTAAAAGATCAGGATGAGTTGACAGTCTCCAAAAATATATGTTGGGTCATTTCTTAATATTTGTGTATCTTCCACTTTATTACCTAGTCTGCTTATATTAAGTTTCTGAGTAGGAAACTGATATGTTTTGCCTCTTAAAAAACTGGATATATGAAAATATTACCACCTCTAATCCTTTTAGGCATGAAGAAAAATGATCTGTATAGAAATTTTTGAAGTAAATACATTCGGGAATAAAATTCAACCCAGTAAATGACTCAAATACCTACTTGGTGCAATATTTAATTTACCCATTTTCCAGATGAGCAAATTCAGGGTCAGAAGGAGCTGACTTGTCCAGGATCACACAGGTAGGAAGGGATAGAGCTAAGACCCAAACATATGTCCTCTTACTCTGGGTTCAGTGCTCTTGCAGGAGAAAACACCAAAATAGGAGAGGAGCTTGTAATCTAGACACAGTCAACAAACATGAAAACATTTAGGAACTAGAACATAATCAGAGGTTATGAATTATATCTAATGACATTCTTGGTATTAGAAATGGTTCCTTTTCAGGGCAACCTTTAAAAGTCAATGTACACTCGTGGGGTTTTGTTTTATTTTGTTTTGTCTTGTTTTAGGAAAAGGCTCTATTTTGGGTAATAGAGTATTTACATTTGTGGAAAGGTTAACTATAGCCTAAAATGATGATGACATCCAAAGAGGGCATATTCAGTTTTAGTTTTCCTAACATCTTCCCAAGAACCCAAAGGAGTTTATCTAGTATTAATGTGCTAGGGTTGACGTAACAGGGCACACTGAGCAGCTTTAACACCAAAAATGTGTTGACTGCAAGTCCTCAAGTCTCGAAGTCCAAGATCAGAGTGCCGGCAGGACTGATTCCTTCTGAGGGCTGGGAGGAAGAATCTGTTCCACGCCTCTCTCCTAGCTTTGGGTGGTTTGCTGACAATCTTCGGCGTTCCTTGATTTCTACTGCATCACCTAATCTCTGCCTTCTACTTCACATGGCATTCTCCTTGCATGTGTCTGTGTCCAGCTCTCCCTTTATTATGAGCATTCCAGTCATATCGCATTAGGAGCCCACACTCCTTCAGTATGACTTCCTCTTAATGGATCACATAGATGGTGACCCCATCTCCAAGCATGGTCACATTCCAAGGTACTAGGGGGTTAGGACTTCAACATATGAATGCAGGGGAGGAGGCGTGTCTCAACCTGTAACACCTAGTAATATGTTGTAAAAAGAGTACTGATCATGGGACAAAGGACAATTGGAATTTGTTTTTTATTTTTTTTTCAACGTTTTTTTATTTATTTTTGGGACAGAGAGAGACAGAGCATGAACGGGGGAGGGGCAGAGAGAGAGGGAGACACAGAATCGGAAACAGCCTCCAGGCTCCGAGCCATCAGCCCAGAGCCCGATGCGGGGCTCGAACTCACGGACCGCGAGATCGTGACCTGGCTGAGGTCGGACGCTTAACCGACTGCGCCACCCAGGCGCCCCTGGAATTTGTTTTTTAACTTAGTTTCACCAAACACATTGTTTTTAAAAAAATCTGCCATAGCTGCACTCTGCCAGTTCCACTACCTGTAGAGAGGGTTTGTCACATCAGAAAATAAACATAACCGTCCTGGGAGTGCACGAGGATTTAGAAGAGAGAAAGATAGATGACAAAAACACAATTTTGTTTATGTCATTAGGAAGTGCTTCGTTGACTTGTGGCAGGTAAGTGATTCCTGAACTCATTTTCAAGCACTTGATGTGTCATGCAGTGTGTCATACTCTGGGCATACCGTAGTCAACCTGTTTCTCCAGCTGGTTCCTTCTCTCTGCCACACCAGCTACAACTGGTAATTCCACTGGATGCCATCTCTCCCCCCACCCTGGGAACCTCTGTCTCCTGAGTTTCATCACGGCTGGGCTCCATCATGCAAAACTGTGATGGTCTACAGCAACCTGGTGCGTGCCGAGTTCAGCTGTGTCTCCTTTTCTATGTTTGCACCTTGTTAGATACCAAAGTAAAGAACTGCAGAGGCCTTCGAGCCCTTTATGCACATCTCTTCTCCCCCTCCCATTGCTCAGAAGAATGGGCCAGAGAGCCTAAAGAAAACAGTGCTGTAAACAGGACCAACTTTGATCTTGACCATCTTTTCTTTCAGGGTAAGTCCTCTCTGCTTCCCTTCATCCACTTAGGCAATTACATTCCTAGTCAGGTGCCCCTCTAGTTCGTCAGGTATGCCCAGTAGAGACACCAGGTTGGAATTAATTTGTGAGCCTTCATTTTGCTGAAAAAACTTTCAAGTCTTTTCAAATTTGTTTAGTTTTTTCCTGATGCTTCTGTAATTTTAATTAGGAATATTCTCTAATGCCGAGAGGCTATCTATCAATAATAATTAAAATTGAGAGAGAAGGAGTTAAGTGATCCTTTAATATCACGAAGAACAATATTGTTGATACTGTCCATTTGATTTAGGCTTCTATTTCTTATTATATAAGCTATTATATGAGAAAAATATGGATAATATTATTAATTTTATTAATATAAGTATAACAACATAATTAAGCCCTTTTCTGACTACCTAAATATTAGATTATTTTTTCTTTTTTTTTCAATATATGGAATTTATTGTCAAATTGGCTTCCATACAACACCCAGTGTTCATCCCAAAAGGTGCCCTCCTCAATACCCATCACCCACCC